CATCCATCCATCCATCCATCCATCCATCCATCCATCCATCCATCCATCCATCCATCCATCATCCATCCATCCATTTATTCATCTTATTCATCCATTTATCTAGCTACCCATCTATCTATCATCTATCCATCCATCTACCCATCTATCTATCCATCCATCCATCCATCCATCCATCCATTTATCTATCTACCCATCTGTCTATCCACCCATCTATCTGTTGTCTATCTATCATACCTCTCTCTCTTCTCTATCATTTCTATCATTATTGTCTCTCTGTCTGTCTTATCTCTATCTAATATTTCTCTCTCTCTCTCTCTCTCTCTCTCTCTCTCCCTCCCTCCCTCCCTCCTTCTCTCTCTCTTACAAACACACCCATGATCTGCTGGGCAGCTGGGGAAAACCAGTCCACCCACATCTCCCCCACCTTTGCTGTTGACATCTTCCTCATCGTCGCTGAAGGCGGCTTCGGCGTGGTCGTAGCACCCGTCGTCTCGGTCGGACATGTGATTGTCCATCTCTGCGGCCGTCGGTTCCTCGACTTTGACTAGTGGGGGAGAGACGGAGGGAGGGACAGGAGAGAGAGGCAGATGGGCCGAAGGGAAGCAGTTCAGTTTCAGCGGTTCCCATAATCCCCTGGGGCCGTGATGGTCAGCCGGATACTGACGGTCCAGACTCGGAGAAGAGAGAGGCTGGAAGGCAGCAAAGACCGGCCAAATTTCTCAGCAAGGACCTCTCCCCCCCCTCCCACCTACCCCCTGCTAGGAGGAGCTACACGGGCACCATAAAGCCGTAGTAGGGCCACACCTGGGATCCCGCATCCAGTTTTGGTCGCCAGATTTTTAAAAAATGATTGGGACTGGGGGAAAAGTGCAGAGAAGAGCAACTAAGAGGATTAAAGGCCTGGAGACTAACTTGGAATGAAGGAGGAGAAACTTCCTGGCGGTTTGAGGACAAATTAACCAGTGGAACAGCTTGCCACTAGAAGTTTATGGAGGCTTTTAAGGGGAGACTGGACAGTTGGGAACAGACTTAGGCTTAGAATAACTAATTTATCCAGAATGGTCTATAGAGGGTCTCCTGGCTGAGCAGGGGGTTGGACTAGAAGACCTCCAAGGTCCCTTCCAGCCTTATTCTGATTTGATTTAGGCCTTTTTTTTAAAAAAGGAAGATGAAAGCCAGAGGCTGGCTCCCCAAAATATCTCCTGCATCTGGACAGCTATGGGAAACACCCCACCACCACCACTCTGTCCCCTCCTACCTTCGACCGGAGGGGAAGGAGACGTGCAGAATTCTGGAAACTTCTCCCGGAGCATAGCGCGGAGTTCCCGGTCCAGCTTGGGGTTATCGAAAAGAGGAGCCAGGTGTCTGTGCGGGAGGGTGGAGGAAGGAGACAGGACAAGTGGGGTTGGGTGGGGGAACGCCGACCCATACATCTCGAAAACCCGAAAATATTTTCGAAGAGTCACCAAGAGGTTGACTTTCAACGGTCTAAGTTTGTCACGGAGACAGGTGGACTCCACTTCCCATCCTCCCCAGCCAGGGATGGAGAGGAAAGGGCCAAGGGGGGGGTGTTTCTGGGGCAGCTTTAGAGCTGGGGTCACCAAACTTTTCGGATTTCGGGGACCACTAAATGTGCAATTTCAAACCCCGCGTAACCACTAAGGCGGATTTTTCCCCCCAAAACGATAAATAATATTTGGTGAGATATATTAAAAAGTGCAAATATTTTTTTCCGAGGACCACCAACATTTTCTCTGCTGCTTTAGAGGGCGTCGCTGAGCGAAACCGGTCTCCAAATTGCGTCTTCAGTAGTCAAAGCTGCAATTCTCTATTATTCTCTACCCTCCAGATATTCTCTATCTATTATTTATATCTATCTTATATCTATCAATATTATATATATATACTATTATATCTATCTATATTATATCTATATTAATTTTATATATATACTATTATATCTATCTATATTATATCTATATT